CTCAAGCAATCCTCTTGCCTCAGCCTCCCAAGTAGCTGGGACTACAGGCACCTGCCACAACACCTGGCTGGTATTTCTATTTTTAGTAGAGACAGGATCTCACTCTTGCTCAGCCTGGTCTCAAACTCCTGAACTCAAGCAATCCACCTGCCTCAGCCTCCCGAGTGCTAGGATTACAGGCCTGAGCCACACAACCTGGCCCTTTAGAGACAAATCTCTTACAAAAAAGCCAAGCAAAGAAGAAGACAATACAAAGGCCATACGTGGAGATGGCCCTCGTATGGCCATTTAGGCATACGAGAGCTACTGTCACCTATCTCTAATCAAAGCCAAAGGTTTAGAATTTTTTTTTTTTTTTGAGACAGAGCCTCAAGCTATCCCCCTGGGTAGAGTGCCATGGCATCACGTTCACAGCAACCTCCAACTCCCGGGCTCAAGCGAGTCTCCTGCCTCCGCCTCCCAAGCAGCTGGGACCACAGGCGCCCGGCACAACGCCCGGCCATTTTTTGGTTGCAGCCATCATTGCTGTTTGGTGGGCCCAGGCTGGGGATTCGAACCCGCCACCTTGGGCGTATATGGCTGGCGCCTTAGCCGCTTGAGCCACAGGCGCCGAGCCAAAGATTTAGAACTTTTAAGATGGACTATCTTCACAGCCTTTCAAAAGCATCGGCCTCTCCTAGGGAAAGTGACATTTACTTCCATGTCCTCATCTGCCCGGATCACTCACTCACCTGAACCGCTTTGGTGTGGAGCTTCCCCATCCAAGGTCCATGGCCCCTCCCCTTGCTCCAACAGGAAGATGGCCTCTGGCTTGGGAACTCGGTACCCTGTTAACAGGACATGATACAGGATCGGGTCCAGCTGATTGGGTTTCAAGGGGCCTTTCAGTGACACTTTCCATTTGCTCTTCAGAAAAGTAACCACGTTTCACTAGGAGCCGAGTAATTGTCACAGAGGTGAAAAGGGACTGAAGAATCCCAGACAAATCGGGGAGGACACCAGCAACACTTCAAATACGGGACAGCGCTCAGCTGCTGAGAATGAAAACACCCTCACTGGGTCCCCCCACCCCCGCAGGTGCGCAGGGAGGCTGTGCTTACCCACTGAAAGCAGGTGGCTATAGTTCTCCAGTGTCACATCCCGGTACAAGCGTCTCTGAGCAGAGTCCAAGTGCTGCCACTCCTCCCTGCTGAAGTCCACAGTCACATCCTCAAATGACACTGGTACCTGTAACAACACAATCCTGTTCAAGGCAGCATGGTCAGCACTGGAGGACGGTAGATAGGAAGTTGTTTTCAATGCTTTGTATGAAAATGTAGCATACAGGGGGTTCATTAAATACCCAGTTTCGTATTTTATTTTATGAGAAAAGTATTAAAGTATCTTGACATTCATTATGTACTACATTCATTCATGTATTCATTCAGTCCTTTCTTTTTCAAATATGAGAATTTAAATGGCCTCTCTTTATGTCTTCCAGTTAGAAACTAGATACATTTGCTGATCAATTATGTGCTGGATGATGTGCTAGTCAATAGTGATATACAGTGGAATAAAATATAAAACAACTTAAAGACTTGGATAGCCAATAGGAAGACACAAAGGTGAGGCTAATAATAGAAAAATTAGCCAGGGGCTGAATGGGGTGGTTCACACCTATAATCCTAGCATTCTGAGAGGCTAAGGTAGGGGGATTGCTTAAGCTCTGGAGTTTGAGACTAGCTTGAGCAAGAGCGAGACCCTGTCTCTATTTTTTTCTTTTTTGAGACAGAGCCTCAAGCTGTCTCCCTGGGTAGAGTGCCATGGCATTACAGCTCATAGAAACATCCAGCTCTGAGCCCAGGAGTTGGAGATTGCTGTGAGCGTGATGCCACGGCACTCTACCCAGGGGGACAGCTTGAGGCTCCGTCTCAAAAAAAAAACAAAAAACAAAAACAAAACAAAACAAACAAACAAACAAACAAGAAACATCCAGCTCCTGGGCATAAGCAATTCTCTTGCCTCGGCTTCCCAAGTAGCTGGGACTACAGGCGCCCACCACAATGCCCAGCTATTTTTTTGGTTGTAGTTGTCATTGTTGTTTGGCAGGTCCAGGCTGGATTCGAACCTACCAGCTCTGGTGTATGTGGCTGGCACTTTCGCCACTTGAGCTACAAACATTAAGCTGAGACTCTGTCTCTAAAAAATAGCTGGGCATTGTGGTGGACACCTATAGTCCCAGGTACTTGGGAGGCTGAGACAAGAGGACCACTTGAGCCAAAGTGTTTGAGGCTGCTGTGAGGTATAACACTGAGGTGCTCCACCCAGGGTTATGGAGTAAGACTCTGTCTAAAAGTAAAAAAAAAAAAGAGAGAGAGAGAGAAGACACTGTCTCTATTTAAAAAAATTAAATTAGTCAAGTGTGATGGCATGCCTGTAGTGCCAGCTGCTTGGGAGACCAAGGCAGGAGGTCCAGGTGACAAGAGTGAGACCCTATTTCCAAAAGAAAGAAGAAAGGAAGGAAAAAGAAAAACTACACAGTAGATTCACAGAACTGCAAACAGTGCCATATGAGGGAGTCTGTGTAGTATTTTGAGAAAGTAGTTTTGAGGAAAATTCAATAGAAATAAACTGAGGTCAAAACAAGGAACAAGTCTTTTTTTTTTTTTCTAGTAGAGAATGAATTGCTATTTATATGCAAGAAAAGACATGATCAATATTTGTGTGCAATAAAACAGTATTCAGGGCTTGGCACCTGTGGCTCAAGTGGCTAAGGCGCCAGCCACATACACCTAAAGTGGCGGGTTCGAATCCAGCCCAGGCCCGCCAAAACAACAATGATGGCTGCAACCAAAAAATAGCTGGGCGTTGTGGCAGGTGCCTGTGGTCCCAGCTACTCGGGAGGCTGAGGCAGGAGACTCACT